CTGCTTTGCGCTGTAACGAGAGAACGGGAAAACTTCGCAAAGCTGGTTTTGCAGCAACTCTCGATTTGAGTTCGAGTCACTGTTGTACTGTCCTAGCTCTAGCTCTAGCCTTAGGACCAGTAGTTGTGAATGCGTGCGACCGACCGCAGGGCGATTTTTGCGACGGGTTTGTAAAAGTAGTTTGTAAGTAAGTTGAGGAGTTGATTTGTTACAGTGTTTTGAAATTGGTTAGGAGGTGATGTCTTAGAGCATCTTGCAGCTGGTTTTAGGACCCGATTTGTTAAATCATTTTGTGGCTGGTTTCAGGATCTGATCTGTTGAGCAGTCTTTCGAGCAGCCGTGTTCCAGCCATTCCTAAGACGTGCACCCAGAGTTTCAGGGCTTAGGTTTTAGAATTCAGGTTTAGCGGCTTGGGCTTAGGTTTGAGAATGAAGGTTTAGCGCGTGGTTTTCGAATGAAGGTTTAGGGTTTAGGGTTTAGCTTGTAATAAAGGTTTAGGGTTTAGGTTTTATAACAAAGGTGGTTTTGGGTTTAGGGTGTAGGGTTTAAGTTGTGGATGGAAGTTTGAAGGTTAACGTTGTAGGGCTTAGAACTAAGGTTTAGGCTGTAGGGTTCCAAATTTTAAGGTTACACCCTTTATTCCAAACCCTAAACCCGAAGGCGGAAAGCCAAGATCCGGCCAGGCAAACGCTCACCTGCGCAGGCAAGTGTTTCGCAGATGCGGAGCTGCGGCACTTACCTGTGCAGGCAAGCGCCTCCAGCAGCAGATCCCCGCGTTATTCGTAGCTGCCACAGAGTCGGAGCTGGCAACACCAGTCCAGAGAGAGGGCCAGGGTTGGAGTTGACCCGAACTACAACTCCGGTCCGGCAGGTTCGGGGTTCAAACTCCAATCTGACTCCGGTTACAGGTTGGATGGGGGTCAACTTAAACCCCAACCCCGATCCGCAATGTCATTTTGGAGTCAGCCCGAACTCCAACCCGGTTGGAGTTGTCTTCAACCCCAACCCTTCGCTCTTACCAGCAAACTCCTTGCTTTCTCAAGCGAAAAGCTTCATGAAGTTAGATTACAGGTTAAACCGAACCCTAACTTGTGGTCCACTCCATCATTTTTTGGCTACTTGTGCAGAACGAAGGTGCTATCCCGCATGTTTCTCCTCGGTTCATGTTGTCGACTGGCAAGCGCCAACACACACGACGGGTTAAACTCAAACTCAAACCTTGCCTCTTCCTTTCTCCGCCCCTCCCTCCAGGGTTTGGGTTTGAGTTCAACCCGATCTCGAACCTGTCCTGAGGGTTTGGGTTTGGGTTTAACCCGAACCCCAGCCCCCCGGCGAAGGTTTGCGTTGGGGTTGAACCCAACCCTGGAACCAGGGTTCGAACCCGAGTTCAACCCGGTTCAACCCGAATTCGAACCCAGGTTCAACCGGTTAGACCCAACCCTGAATCCTGACCCCAGGGTTGTTGTTGTTCTCCCCCCCCTTCCCGGAGGGGGGGGAGGATTGTTCGAACCCAGGTTCAACCCAACCTGCGGCGGACCAGCATCACACAATCACCATTGCGGTCCCCTCCGTCGTGGCCGGCAATCTCAAGATCCTTTCACCCGAGGCATCTCGGATGAACCTGGCGCCCGCTCGCTGTGCGTTTGTATTTTTAGCCAGCAGTGTTTTCTTACGTTCTCACGAAGGCACGACATTGCACCACATTGCGATGCTCGGCTCGAAGCACAGACACAGCAACCTTTGCGGAAAAAGAAGTGAGCGCCTTTTGACTTTTGCTCGGTTTGCCTGCAGTAGTGTAAACCTAGAGAACACAATCATGCAGACTTCGCCTGGCCATCATTTCTCGTCCCAAGGCATCAAAGCTGACCAGTTCACCTGTCAGTTTCGGCTGTCTCGACACAGTGCTCGTGACGATGTTATTGTCGAGCCCCAAGGCCACAACCTGAGCACAGTTCTGTATTCGGGTCAGCATTGTTGTTTTCCATTTAAAACGTCATGCATGCTATTTGGTGTGCATGGTCCAAGTCCTCAGTATGTTCAATGCGCACTGAAACCATTAATCAGTGTAATTTACACCAACGCGCAGTTTGTGCATTGATTCACATGCAATTTCCTATCGACAACCAAGTGCGTGGTTAATTTGAATGCTGCGACATTCGATGCGTGCATGGTTCCTTGTGGTCCCAGCAATCGGAGCCATCGTCAAGGCCGTCCGGGTGTACCAGGGCAAGCGCGACGAGAACCAAAAACATGATCAGCTGCGTGTGCTAGTTTAGACGTCTGATTGTGCAGGATCTGGAAGAGAATCTCGGAGGCCCGACCCCGGCAGATCCTCGGACCACAACAGGCATGTTCTGGTGGATTGTCAAGAGAAGTTGCATGATGTTGGGAAGCGCAGCTGGTGCCAGTCGTGTTATTTCAGGACTGTTCGGATCCGGTCAATGACATCGTGCGGGAAAATTGCAAGCAAGGCAGCCCTGCCACTGAGTGGGACATCAACGCGGCAGGTTCCAGCTCGATTTTCGGCCGCGTTTAAGTTTTTCTGAGACCTTCAGTCGATGATGCCGCTCATTGCGAAGAGTTTTTGTGGTACTGTACGTGTCGGCTGTCCCAAGGATCCAGGGGTTTGCCACGCAGAGCAGCTATGTGATTGGTGAGCAGGTGTTGTTCAAGGTGAAGACAACATCCAGAGCCTCAGCTTCATTGAGAATGAGGACACCGCCGTACTCCAGGTTCGCTGTCGACTGAGGAAAGTATCGTTTCGACATTTACCGGCTCGGTTGGTATAATGCCTCTGGTGCGCGGCATGTTGCCACTCTGCGGCCATCTGCAGCATTGCCACAAGAGCAGCCGGAGTGCTACAAGGATCGTCAGCCTGCATAACGAGCAAGGTTTCGTCAACATTCAGGTTTACCAAGTTTCTGTGCAGGTGTCAGAATTGCAAAGCTTATTGTAAATTATAAATAATGCTAGCGGGTCGAAGCGAGCTTACACAGCGAGAGGATGATCTTACACTGCTTGTGGACTGCGGAAATTGGGCCGTCAGCGCCGCTGCTTGGCACAACTGCATTTTTATGACCATGGCATGCATCCAAGTGTTTTTTCATTGGGCTGAATCTGTCGATAACATAGCAACTTCTGTGGCATGTGAATTCTTTAGGTCACTATGCGGCTACTGCTTGCGTGATGATGTTAGCGCGGATGTGATGCTTGTGACGGTGATGTGGAGGGAATGCGATGGTGGTGGCGAAGAGATTGGAATTCACGGTGATGGTCATGGTGGTACAACGACGACGACTACGGCGACTGCGACGACGACATTAAAACCACTATCAGCCATAGCAGTACTGTTACGAGTTACGAATACTAGAAATTACTAGTATTAGTCTTGGTATCAGTGTTGGTATTAGTTTTCGTTTTAACATTTGTATTAGTGCGGGTACCAGTACAAGCACTATCCGTATGAGTACTACCACCGCCGGTTGGCCTTTCCAACTATGTTTGTTCTGTCATTTGGATTTCTCTTGTTTTTATGTAGCATAACCAGCTTGCATGGGTTGCGGTCGGTTCCCTCTTGTATATGTAAACATCTAGGATATCTACGAACATGTCCACGTAGTTCTTATAGTAGATGGGCATTTGCTCTACAAAATTCTACATGGCAGTGTGGTGCCTCATCAAGATGTTTTTCTTCATCCTTTCGATTCCTGACCCGTGTCCGGGATAATCCAAGGCCTGGCTCGTCCCAACTGACGTCGTGCCGGGCATCTTCTTCGCACGCTTAGTGATGGAAGATCCGCCGCAATATTGGCGGACAGATGCAAGTGAGATTATGCCGAGCCCTAAATTTGCCAACAGAACCTCAGCGTGCAAGTTCGGGCCAGATGCATGTCGCCAGAGACGAGTTAAGACTTTACAGAGACACGTGCAACTAAGAAAACTGGAACTACAGTCGCATGCCTCCTTGCGGTCCTGAACAGTGTCCTGCTCTGGTACATGCGTATGGAGCACAGCGACACCTGTCTGGCGATATGATGAGCCGCGGCCACAGCTCTCCATGACTGTGCCCTTGTTTACGTCAAGGTCAGAGAACAAGATTCCGAATGTGTGTTTCCTGAGAGCTTCATGCCCGCTGCAGGCAATGCGCTGAAAGAGCCGCATGCATCGCATGTCTACTTCGTCATTCGTCAAGACGTGCGCAAGACGGACGTGTTGCTGCAAACTATTGACACTACGTGGCGTGCATATAACAACTATGCTGCTCCATCCACTTATGGCGTGCTTCCGCTTCCAAGGCACAATCTGAACCTCTCCGATGCATGGCAAAACAGAAGGGCCTATAAGGTCTCCTACAATGCTCCATTGCTGACTCGGGACACTCGGGCTGTGAATACACTGTTTAATGCAGAGATGCCTGCGGTGCGATGGCTTGAGCGCCATGGTTATGACATTCAATATTGGACTGGAGCAGATGCTCATGCACGTGGAGAAGAGATCGCTCGCCGTGCCCGAGTTTACGTCTCCGTGGGTCACGATGAGTACTGGTCCGGGGAGCAAAGGCGGCATGTGGAGGCAGCACGTGATGCAGGAATCGTGGCAGCAGTCGTGCTTGCGTTCTGCCTGTCTCGAGCTGGAGACACAGCATCCTGTCGCGAAGCTGAGGAGTCCACTTGCATTTCTGGAGTGGCAATGAAGTCTACTGGAAGGTTCGATGGGAGTCATCACCAGTGAACGGCGAGCCAATGAGAACCATGGTGGTATACAAGGACATGGTGTTTGAATCCTGTGGGATGCATGTATGAAGGTCAGCATGTTAAGTTGAGTTTTAAATGCAGAAGCAGAAAAAGTGCAGAAGTCATTTGTGTCGGCAGGAGTCCCAGGAATCTTTCAAGATCGACCCTGAGCCGAAGCTGTGGACCGGAACCTTCCGAGACAGCAAAGGTTTTAACCCAGAAGGGGCCAATCCCGAGAACTCGCTGACGGGAACCATCTTTACGGCAACTTGCCGGCTTTCATCTCGTGAACTCTAGGCAGCGAACACCAGCACCAAAGCACGACGGCAGGTAAATGCATGGCGCCATGATGCTCTCGAGATACCCGGTGCCTATGCCAAACTTCGAGTTTGGCGCCATACCGACGTGGCCTTGATGAAGTTGACCCAAAAGGCAGTACTGTTGAAAGGGTGACTTGGTAGCTTCCCGGCGCCCCGTTTCAATTTTGTTCGTACTTAGTTCCACAGCGTAGAGCCTAGTGCAGAGATGGTTCTAGGTAAGACATGGTAAAACGCGGACCAGAATTGGCTCCTCGAACATCTCGAGGCTTTTGGGCCACGAATGGGATGAAGACTTGGACAACGGCTTTCGGCCCGAAGGGCTCATCCGCCTCAGTGAGACGCATGTGGACAATGTGCAGGAGGGGGGGGTTCACTTTGGGCCAAGTAGGAGTGGAACTGAACGCCCCCACGACCCGCGACGCGAGGCCATCGTGGATCATGGCGCATGCTTCGACTCTGGCAGTGCCACTCACCACTTGACGTTGCGACTCGGAGTCTTCAGCTCCGACAGAATTCAAGGTGGCTTGCACTGGAGCTCAGGTATAAAGCCAAGAGTGGCGCTTTGGTGTTCGGGGCAGGCACGGTCCAGTGGGCTTGGGGACTGGACAATTTCCACGACTCCGTCACGGGCATGAACAACATGTGGGAGAGTGAGTGCTCCGGCTCCCGTCGGTTGTTTGGGCGACATGTTGCAGGTCTTCGCTTCCCAGCATCCTTCCACAAAACACTGTGATGCAACAACAGTTCCAGAAAATAGACGGGCTGGGCATGAGCATCGAAGAGAAAAGCTAGTCACCTAGTCGTCAGTGTTTGCTGGCCTAGCTGGTTTTGGAAGGTCCTCTCAACCTGAATTCGCTTGCACACCAAAGTCAAGCAGAGCCCGGAGGGAGGGAGTGGGGTCAGATGTTGTTACTGTCGGCTCAGAGATGGAAAGAAAGATTCGGCCCAGCAGAAGAAGTACAGTACAAGAAGTTCATGGACTTCCTGTAGATTTCATACATCGAACTGACTTCCTTGGTTTGCTTTTGGCTGTTCTTCTTGCGCTCTGCGAAGATTCCAGGGAGGCAGCTGAACGTGCAAGTTGACATGCTAGACAAGTCTAATGCCTCTAAGGTACAATACTCGGATAGGGGTGGACCCCTCTGGCCCTGACTCGGTGGTACAGCAAGCCACCTTGTGACCCGGTCGGAATAGGAGTTCCCAACGTCCAGACTTGTAGACCAATCACGGATATTTGTTCTGCCTTTGTTGTCTCGTCCTGAGGAATTTGTTCGCGGACATGGGTGTTCAAGCCCCGATCTTGGGAGCAGGCATGGTGCGTCCATCGGCGTTTCTTGACGTTTGCTTCAGCATAGTTCTGGCACAAGTTCCATGGCTTTCTGACAATCTTTAGTCAGTAGTGATTACACTTGTGAATACTGCATGAAGCAGTGCAGTGGTGACTAGTGTCTCTGCACACCCAGGTCCACAGACCACGAAGCGCCTGTTATATCCTCTGTTTCGATGGCTGATAGTGGGCCACGCAAGAATTTCGCGGCTCGGCTCGTGATCATGAAAAGGCCGAGTTGCGCGATTTTTCTTTGAGTCGTGCAATAGTGTAAGAGACAGTCTCCAGGATGAGACTTTTGCAGCCAGCCTGCTTGAGGTCGTCAGAGCCACTGACTCTGCCGGTGAAGTCGCAGCTGTGGAGTGGTCTTTCGATGGTAGATCCCCAGACGGAACAGACAGTGCAATCGCTGGTGGTCGTCCCTCGAAGGGTGTTAGTGTAGTTCTCCACAATCAGATGTCGCCAAGGACGCTGGCATCCGATGAAGCGCCAGCTTCGGGAGCCAGATCAGTGGAGCATGGAAACACCGACGCCCGCATTCCAAGGCACGCTGCAAGCTGCAAACCTGAAGGGGTTTGTGGGTCATGCCAGATCCAATGTACGATTATTCTAGCGCAAGTTTGCTGCTGTATCTTTCTGCGAGCTTCTGCCTCAGCAGGAGAACTGGAGCTCTGGTTTCGTGCTGTGGACGATTCGCTGAACATCGGCAAGGAGTACCGATGGAAAGAAAAGCCAGAGTTGTGAAAGTTCGCCCTCCAGACGGCGCAGGTGAGGGATCGTTCAGACAAACCCACTGAACTTCCGAGAGTTTGCGACGACAGTGGGCAACCCGAGCTATCATGATCGTGTTGGATCCAATGGTGTGGCAGTACGCCATGCTACGTCTGCACGGGGATCCGCATCACGCTCCGCAACAACACCAGCTGCTATGACTCCATTTTGGGAGGACAAACGCACAGTTCAGCAATCCCTGGTGCAGAAGAGTCACCAGAGGTCTTTCGAGTGTCCTGGAAAAGAAGACACTCCACACAACACTTAGCTCATGGAAGTACACACTCCCCGCTACAACCATAGA